AGCACTCAGTGAGTTGGAGGAAGGGGCTTTTTGAGGAGTCTCATTTGTCTGTCTATCCATCTTCTCTATTGCATGTCCTAGCATGGGTCAAGACTAACCCTGAAATCTGGGACACTGGTCCCTTTTCCCCTGACTCCATCTCTCAGTGAGCCTTTGCCCCATTCATCCTCTCTCTTACTATGCACCACGAGCAATTGCCATTATGTTCCTTCCTTCTCAAGACTCACCACTGAGCTGTCTCCTCCCATGACCTGAAAACAGCACTTTCAGTTTAAGCCTTCTCCAAGATCTTGATAATTTCATAACCTACAACGGCAAGTAGTCTCAGGTCCCCTGCATTCAAGCTTTCTTCTTTCAGGTTGCCCCTCCCTTTGTCATGATTGCCCTACTTTTCAAACTTCTCAGTGAGCAACCGTGGCCCACACCTTCTACTTTTGACTATGAATTTGATCCTGCTGACCACTCCGAGCCCCCTTCTTATGTGTCCCCACCTCCCAAATTTTCTGCCCCCACTAGGTCCCAAAGCCCTACTCTCCCACCTTCTTCATCTGGTCCCTTTCCCCTTCCACACACCCACTCTCAAGGACAGCCACATGAAGTCATGAGATCTGAGGGTATTATTATAGTGCACGTTTTTTTTAACTTAGGAGATCTGTCCCAGATGGAAAAATTCCTACAACAGGGACGGGGCAGGCTTACTCTGGTTCAGAGCCCACTTGTGTTCTTTTCCTTACTAAATTCCTCATTGGTCTCCAGACTGGCCTCATCTCCTTTCTTGCAAACTATCACCCCATTTATATCCCATACTCTACATCTTTTAATGGTGCTGAACCTGGTCCTATACCAGGTTAGCCGCAGAGCAACTGTGGGAAGTCTCTCCTTTCCACTGCTGGCTTTTCTTCCACTACCAGGACGCCACAACTTCTCAACCATCTTTTTCAGTGAGTGCTTCTGGCCTTCCTTCCCAGGATTTCTGGTTTGCTGTCCATTTTTTTCCAAAGTCCTACTAGCTGGGCCCTAGGCCCTACTCCCCTACTTTCTCTAACTCTGGAGATTCTTGGATTTAGAGACTGTCCTCTTCACCTCTTGGAGCATCAGACTGAGATTGAAGATGACTTCTCTCTTCTGCCCTTCCTTAAGGTCCTTGTCCATACTTCCCTTTCCCTCAACTTAGACACCCTTCTAAGGGCACGGCTCCGGCTACCTTCTCCATAACCCAAACGTCCTCAGTCTCAAGCCCAATGTCTGGCCTAACTGCTTCATTTTATTCTGTAACACTGCCGGGCCTCAATACAAACTTGATAATGACTCTCAATGGCTTGAAAATGGCACCTTTAACTTAGGTGTCAGCTTTTGTCACTGCCATGGAAAATGGTAGGAGACTCCCTAGTTAAGGCCTTCTTCACTCTTTAAAAATCTCCATCTCTCTGTGTCTGCTGCTCCTTGTTTGCTTGATGAGCGTTAGGTACTGTTTGCCTCTTTATTAGTGCAACTCTAGAGGACACAGCTGGTCGCTTTTGAAACTTACTTGTATTTATGAAAAGATTAGAACTAAAAAGAACATGTAACAATTTCATGGCTAGCCTTAAAAATTCTCTTGACAAAATGGAAGAACAGATACCTAATTTAAATCTGCTTCCGTCTGTGTATGTCATGTGTTTGTGTTTAATATGGAAAACCTCTTAATTACAAAATGGGGGCAAAAGAAATCAAAAATATTTACCCCCAAATATATTTCTTTGACATATTTTGGGATGACTGCTACAGAAATAGCACTGCAAATCTTACTGGAAATACTGGTCTTAATCTACAGACCGGAGGCCAACAGAGAAGTGATTAGAAACTTGTCTCCAGCTCTTTAAGACTGATCAGGGAAGAAATGCTAAAAGCTTTAGGGCTCAACATAAATCACTCAACTTGCTTGGCCAGGTCCTCCTAGATAATCAGGCAGTGCTGGATTTCCTTTTGGCTAAACGGGAGGGAATCAGTGCAGTATTACTATCTGTAATACTATCAGTATACTATCTGCTGTGTCTATATAGACACCTCAGGAGAAGTTGAAAACTAGAATAGAAAAATTTTCCGGCAGACTTTGTGGCCCCAACAGGGCTCTGACAGTGACCCCACACCTAACTGGTTTCGGGAATATTCACTGCGATTGGCCAGAACTTCAGATCAGTTCTATAGGGGCTTTTAAAGCTAGGTATTAGCTGTCTTAAGTTTGCTTAAGAACAGTGCTAAGGCTATAAATAAGAATACTAATGCTCTCATCATACGAACCCCAAGCCCCTAACCTGAATCCCACAGCTGGTAATTATTCTTTCCTTACACTGGCAAACACTGGAATAAGTTTACTCTGAGAAGGAAATAGAGGCCCTCTGGACTGAGGCACAGAGGTCCTGGAGCAAAAGCACATGGTGAAGTCACGTCAGTGTGTGAAGTGCGGAGAGGCCCAGCCCTCTTACCTCACTAGTGACCAGGCAGGCCTTCAACTCCAGAGGCAGGAAATTAGTGAAGCTCAGTCAGCAGTCTCCTCACATGCTGAGAGCTTTTAGTCAGGTGCTCAGTGTCACATCTGCCCATGTGAGTAAACAACAAGAAGTACCAGGTTCCCTCCTAACCTAGCCAACCTGAACTCTGAAAGATAAAGACTAAAAGGAGCATAAGAAGGCGAGGTGAGAAACAGAACATGGAAAGGATTGCTTCCAAAAATTGTAATAGTCGTGTAGTACGTGGGAGTTCGCTAATCCTTTTCGCTCCTTATATGAATGTTTAAAAATTGCAATTAATGATTTTTAAAACTTGTCATAAAGATAAGATACTGCAAAAATAAAACAATACTAGCATACTTTTTAAAAGGAACATTCTGAATAAAAGAGCTCTTTAAAATTGAAAAGTAAAAACTCTATAAAAGATTTAGAAGTTAAATAAATCTCCAGAAAGGAGGACAAAAGATAGAGATGGAAGAAAATGGTTTTCTAACCCTGAATCCTATCTCTGGCCAAATTATCAGCCAAGAAAAAAGATACTGGCAGACATGCAAGAGTTCAAGTACACTTTCTCAAGAATCTGCTAAAGGATATGCTCCATCACAATGAGTAATTATAGAGGAAGACATGAAGTATGAGAAATACTATATCCATTTTAGGAGTGTAGGGACTCACCAAGATAATGAGGAAGGAACTTCACAGGATGAAAACTGCAAGTAACAAATCCAGAGTCTGGCTGATATTCCTTTAGGAAGGTTAAATTGAAGGCATGTCTGATGCAAGGAAATACCTTGGGAGAAGAGCTAGGCCACAGGTCAGTCTGCCCCTCTGCCTGTTTTTTAAATAAAATTTTATTTGAACACAGCTATACACGTTCCTTTATATATCGTCTCTGGCTTTCATACTGCAGACCTGAGTGTTTGCAACAGAGACCAAATAGCTTGCAAAGACTTTAGTGATCCTCTCCAGCCATTTAAGAAGCTTGCAGACCAGATGTAGAGAATTGATTCTATACAAGTGGCTTGAGAGTTTTTGCTCAACTTAGATATATGTACATAGAAAATGAAGCAAACGGGCTCGGCGCCTATAGCTCAACCGGTTAAGGCGCCAGCCACGTACACTTAAGGTGGCGGGTTCGAATCCCCAGCCCGGACCCGCCAAAAACAACAATGACGGCTGCAACCAAAAAATAGCCGGGCGTTGTGGCGGGCGCCTATGGTCCCAGCTGCTTGGGAGGCAGAGGCAGGAGACTCGCTTGAGCCCAGGAGTTGGAGGTTGCTGTGAGCTGTAATGCCACGGCACTCTACCCAGGGGGACAGCTTGAGGCTCTGTCTCAAAAAAAAAAAAAAGAAAATGAAGCAAACGGAAATACAACATAATTGCCAGGTTCAGGGAAAATAAAAATAGGACAAGAAAGGAAAAGCAACCTTGATTTACTCCATGCCTTACTCTAAATATCTTTAGGTGATTACAGTAATAAAAATGTCTAATACTGAGCTGACTGAAATTATTATACAACTGTATTGGGAAGAAAGGAAGAATGTGTGGGGGGGTGGAAATAGGAGATGGAAAGAGCTTGATCTTTGTCTTTTATTTGGGAAGACAGCAGATAAGCCTAAAACTGAAAAAGAAACATTGTAATAAATGCTAAGATCACTGGCTAAAAGAAGTGAAAATCAGTTCCTCTAGAGAAGGAGAAACAAAGGGAGAGGACCAAGATTGCCATTTTTTATACAAACCTTTTGCTGACCTTTTAAACTAGGTACCATTGTAGCTTTGATAAAGAAAAGAAAGAAAAACCCCCACAAAACTGGAAAACAAAAACAAAAGAATCACTTTTTCAAGGTCAGAAAATACCTAGTATTCATGCTGCCCCTTTCTCTTACTTTTGGAGATCACTGACCATTACAATCTCATTTCCTGTTGAGTTGACACATGGCCTCAGAATCTTCAGAACTGTTCTGTAGCCACTCCCAATCAGTAGAAAGTTGTCCCTATTCACAAACCAATATCTCTGATAGAATTGGTGAATAGCTAATAATTTAGGCAGACTCCATCTGGTTCTCAGATATCCCCTCCAAAAGAACATTGCTTAGATACATTATTTGGCCATGCATTTAATTAAATGACTAAACATGTTCTGATTTAACTGCATTTGAAAACTTTATCTGTTTTAAATATCATTTCTACATAACCCCCACAAACATGGAATGAAAGTTATTCTCAGTAATTATTCATAATATAATTTAGTAATATATTTTCAACATTTAGCACTGAACCTAACATAAAAGACTAGTAAATGTTTGAATAAATGCATAATTGAACTCTGTTGTGTAATCAACAATGTTATAAAACCAAGATGCCTTGAGAAACCAAGGAAACAACCCCTGCAAAAACAAAAGGTGATAACATAATCTTATTCAGCTTTTCTTCATTAAGGGTATTTCTGAATAATTTTGACTTTTGAATTTAAAGTAGTTTTTAACCACTTTTTTTTCTAACTCTTAATAGGATCTTTCCAGTTAAAGATGTACCCCTGGAAACAGATGACCTTACCAATTGGCTATATCAACGGTTCATTGAAAAAGAGGACCTCTTATCACATTTTTATGAAACAGGTACATGGTATCCTCTAAATAATTGCTAAATTGTAGCCACGGTAGTAGAGGCCCCTTTTTTAAAAAGCTATTTACATATTAGATCTTGAAATGAAAGTGCACTCTGTAAATTGGGAGAAGCAAATCCCCTCATGAATCAGCTTACCCTCAGAGATTATCAGCAAGGACAAAGGCTGTTTGAAATGCTGGAGAGTGTTATCAACATGACCTTAGGTAATATTGCTCTGAAGTGATCTAGCTTTCCTTCCCAGAAACAAGTATAAAGATATCTGTTTACTTTGTATGTCTTTATATTATTAAGATATATTTCATAAAGCGTATGACTTTGGAAAATATCAGTTTTATACAACCCCTTTTTTGGGCAAAAAACCCACTTAGTTTATAAATAGAGGACTTAGTATAAATTATGCTATTTCAGAAATTATTTGATGTCAGTTTAACACATTCTGTGTCCTGACCAGTGTGGGAGTCTCTAGGGCTTCCGTGGGAGACAGGCAGCAGAGTGCCTGCTCTCATACAGATTATTATTCCAGTAGGAGACAGAGTAAACAAGTTTGCAGGAAGAAAAAATAGTAGATCAGGACCATTGCATATGGGGGAAAATGCCAGCAAGGAAATCAATGTGGAGCTGAGAAAGAGTGGCTAGAGAAAGGAGGTGGATATTTTTTTCTGATTAAGAAGGATGCCAGCCATTCACGAAGATGGAGGAGGAACATCCCAGGCAAAGAATAAAGGCAAAGGCTCAGAAGTAGAAAGTTTGGAAATTGTATTTTACTTTTTTTTTTTTTGGCCAGGGCTGGATTTGAACCTGCCACCTCCGGCATATGGGGCTGGCACCCTACTCCTTTGAGCCACAGGCACCGCCCTGGAGATTGTATTTTAAATAAGATCTCTCTTCCAGAGCAATGGAAGGTCATAGAACATAGTTTAAACCTCCCTCCTTCCCCTCCCCCACCCCAGTTAACCTAATACACGATTTTTATTCTAAGACACTTACCACTAAAGTAAAACAAATTAATATTTCTATTTTGCTTTTTAGGAGCTTTTCCAACTTCCAAGGTCCACAAGGAAGCTGTTTCCAAGGAGATGACCCTCAGCAACCTGTGGTTATTTCTCATACAGTCTTTCGCATTTTTGTCAGGCTACATGTGGTACAGCATTATTCAGTATTTTTACCATTGCCTGTTTTAGGAATTGACTTGGATTTGTCAAGGTCACCATAGGAGTTCAGACTTTCTTTCATAAGTGTGCATTATTTTACATGTGCAAATCAAAATATGTTAAAAAAAAAAAAAAAGGAAAACAAAGGAAATTCACGGATGGATTAATATTTATCCCCCTTTGGGATATTTTAAAAACTCTACTAAAATGAGGCTTAGTAATATAATGACCTGCTAATATATTTTAAGAACTGTTTATGTTTTAAAAAGATACACTCTACTGCACATTTATACAAACATCACATTTGGAGAAGAGGAAATCATAAAATCATCCTAGAAGACCATCTGAGAGAAATTCTGTTGCCACCAGATATACTTGGTAATTTAGTTGAAGCTCAGAAAGTCGTATTAGTCCCTCTAGGTAGTAGTCTATATTAGGGCAGTGCTGTAGAACGCCCTCACTTCTACCAACCCACGCTGTGTAACTAGAAACCTTGAGGGGAGCTGGTTAGCACCTTCTGAAGAACCGTTTCCATCATTTGCGGTAACAAACTCCAGTCCTCAACAACGAACAGAGGTACATTTTTGGCATTCTCTGTGGGGGAAAAAGCAGTGTCCACTGAACCCATTCTGGTACGAGAGTGGGTTCTTCACAAAGGTTAGCTCAGTCCAACATTATGTTTACATGCACTAGTACTTTCTTTCCCTTACCTGATTTCACATTACATACAGAAATCATATCATAGATTGAGAATTGTATTTGACAAAATGCACTTTTATCAGAGGCAGATAGAGTGAAGGGTTCGTGATAGAGCTGAACACAAATGTAAGCATATCAATGAGAGGCTCTCTCGTCTTTCTTTGGCGTTCACTTGCCTGCTGCTGTTCTCCGGCACCACCCTGCACGGGGCACCCCGTGGCATCATGCCTCTCTAGCTTAGAGGCTTATATGGATTTTTTTTTTTTATTTTAACATTCACTCTAAAGGATGGTCAAAACAAATTAATACAGGGTGATCAAAAAGTTCATGTGCAATTTAAATTTGCACATGACCATTATGGCTACCCTGTATAAAACATTTAAATGATCAGTTTAGGGGGAAATAGAGTAGCTTATGAGAGAAGTGGGAGCTAATGGCTGACAATGGTGATAAGTTCTCACATGGCACCCCCAGAACCCATGCAGACAGTAATCTATTCTGTCATCACATTGGGGAGTTCCCCCTCTCGAGGTAAGTGTAGCCAGGAGAGAAACCAGCACACCGGGCTTCCCAATCTCTTTAAATTTCTTTTGAAGAGGATAAAGTCAAGTTTCTATCTCTAGGAAACATTTTTAAAATTTGTCACTATGTTAATGTGATTTACCTTACAAGAGAACTGTATTCTCTTTCAAAAAGTGCTGGTACTATGTCACTGTTAAGGTAGGATATGACTTTTGGCTTGTGATTGTGAGACTGTTAAGATCCTAGCAAGTCAGTGGTAGTTTTCTGTAGTATGAGCATTGTAGATTCCCCTGATGTCACTAATCACACAAATAACGATTCCAAGAAGTAGGCTATCAAAAAATAATGGCTAATGTTTTCTCTTTTTAAATAAACCAAAAACAAAAAACAAGCTGAAAAGATGTGAATTTTCCCCCAGTTATGTGGGAAATATAAAGCAACACCAAATAAAAGCCCACAGCAGCTTCATCTTTAGAATAACTCAGTGCATAGGCGAAAGAGAAAGATGTATTAACTGAAATACCTCATTGAATATTATACTACTACTGGTAAAATGCAGAAGCCAGTGTTAATGTGTTTGGTAATGGTTGTTATAAGACAGTTTTCTTGAAATCTTAAGCATTTCATTCTGTGTCTTATAGTGACAGTGAATATGTGAAATCAGTCTCAATTTAAAGGTACGGATGAAGGTAGGAAGCTACATGGAGGCTTCTGCTCAAGGCCAAGCAAATATTGCTGAACTACAAGATGATTTGAGAGATCAGTCAGCCAGCCATCTGGGGGAGAAGTTGCTCACTGTCAGAGAGAGTGTACCCAGTCTTAGCTAATAGACCCTTTTTCCTCGTTGCTACAGCAAGGGTAGAGTAGCCAGTTCTCCTATCCAAAAAAAAATGTGTACATAAATGTGGCTTAGGGCCACTTTTAACATCACTGTGCTCCAAAGGAACATGACATTTTTAAGTATACTGTACATGTGAAACTGTCCTGTAAGATGCTCTACTTTTCAAGTGCAGTCTCATTGCCGCAGTCTCCAGGGTGACAAATACCAATAGATGTGTGAATTAATTTTTGAAAATAGATCTGTGTATTGTAAATAGATGTGTATTTGCTCTGCCCTCTCCCTCTTTGATTCTGTATCAACATGTTCTCTTTCTTCTGTTTGCAAAATACGTTTGTTTGAGAGCCTCAGTAAAGCTCTCCTTATCAGTAACTGGAGTTCTGCTTGCACTAGAGAATGTAAAGAGAGAATTGTGTTCTTACATGGCAGTCTGGGGAAGCAGCAATATGCCACTGTATAGAACTGAATAAAAATTCCTAATTTGTACTTTCTTTGTGAAGTGAGATGAAGGGAGGTTTAAAGAATATATATTTTGTCAAGGGGAAAGAAAATAAAACTATGCCAGTTTTATACCAGTAGCTGGTAGAATCTCAGCACTTCTTGTTCTTGGCTAAACTACCTACCTAGTTTCCCAGGCAAACACAGTTGAGAACCCATTGCTGGAATCCTGGTATCAACAAGTCACAGTGATGGAGCATCTGCTTGGTCATAGGCAAGTTCAGTGGCTACAGATGTGACCGAGCCAACAGTTCGCTATTAACTATAGAAACAATTATTTGTGTTGAAATATACATATATTATAGAGAAACCTATAAGCAATGGAAGGTAAAGAAAAATTACAGAATGGAAAAGGATATTTGGATGTGCAAACAAATTAGTTGAGAGTTGAAATAGTTGTTTTTAAAAAGATAGCTTTGAATTCAGATCTGTCATATTTTTAGTTTGTAATATTATGACCAACCCTTAATTTTCCACAGTAAATGAAGTAGGTGTTACTGGATAAATAAGTAATTAATAACTGAATAGTTAATCCAGTAATGAGTAATAGGTAAGCCACAAATCTATTTTTATTTAGGAGTCTCAATTTTTATTCTCATTGAACATTTTCTTTCTCATAGGGATGCTTACTAATTAAAAAAATTATTTGAGTTGTTCATTAGGGGTTTTTTTGCATATATGACTGTGTTATTGAATAATGAAACTATACAAAAAACAGACAGCAATCCAGAAGAGGAAATACAGAAGCCTAAAAAATCCGTGGGGTAGAAAAGGCATCCCTGAATAGTTAAGAGTCGGTGGTATTGAAATTGTTCTCAAGGCTTTTTATAAAAATGAGATCTGAAATCACCAAATGTAAACCTCTGAACATCATCCTAGTGTTGCTGTCTTTTGGATTGATGTGAAGAACACCTCTCGTTCTTTGCTCGTGTTGCTCATTTCTCATGGATTTGTCTTAGTAATGTTTTTTGACAATCACTTCCCTAAAGACTTCTAAACTAGTAGGACCTGGTTCTAATAATAGAAAGTAAGTCTTTAATCATGAATAGTCTTCTTGGGTTCTTGTTATATTTGAAAAGAAAATATTTTATTTGCACTACTGAATAGGAAGAGTTCATTGTTTTCTTTGTTCTTTTCTTTGAAATCACAACATAGGACTTCACTACAGAGTGAAGTGCCATTATGAGCATGTTCAGCTCTGGTCCACAAACGAAGGATAAAAATGGTTTGTTGTATGTATTTGCCCTGCGGTGCTCTGAGCCAGCCTTACATCAGTTAACATGAAAGGCAAAATCAAAAGCAGCACTGTCGAGAACGAGGCATAGAAACTAATATGTTTGGGACCAAAACCACCTAAGTTGGAAATTTCTAGATCACAGATGGGCCAGATACTCTCTGGAGCAGTCATTGGTTGGTGCTTTAGTGTAATTATTTTGCACCAATCCCCAACAATTAGGAAGTGGACCCTGGGAATAAGCTGAGGGTGCTAGACTGTTGGGGGAGGGTGATAGTAGCCATATGGAAGATAAAATATGGAACGGATTTTTCTGCAGATTTTCCATCTGAGGGTTTTTACATTTAATATTTTTTTAAGACAGTTTAAAGAGAAAAAAAAATTTAAGCATATCTAGCTACAGAGTATGCACACATATCTTGAATGGCTTTACTTTTATTGTGTAAACTGTTGAACACATGACTGTGATGCACAGTTCTTCACATGTAAGGAGTCTATGCATTTCACGGTGACTTATTTTATGATTGGGTAATGAGACAGTTATACATTCAACTGCCATTATTTTAAGTGCTTTCATTTTCTTTACAGTTATTACAAAATTGTATTTATTTTCTACAGATAGATTTTTGTTTTTCTGATGCCATAATGTTTACTTCAGCCTGTTGACCTTTCTTTGTGTATCTGCATGTTGTAACGTGTGATAAGAATGAATGTAAAGGCCGTGGCAACCGTAATTAATTTTTGTAAAGGGCTGGTCACATGTGGATCTGGTTTATGAATGCATTTGAGATGATTTTAATAACCAGATCACCTTTTCAGAAATTTAGACGTGAACACCAAAAGAAGCATTTTCTCAACAAAAATTAATAGCTGGTTCTATTTTTTTTTAACCTAGAAAAAAATAAAATTGATTTTTTTTTTAAGTAAAGTGCTTTTAATTCTTAGTAGTGGGGATGGGGTTTTTGTATTTTACTGTGGCTATTTGGGCATTAACATCTGTAGGCAGGTACTTAAAGCATACCATGGCAGTTGGATGCGGAGGGCAAACTGAAAAAAACACATGAAAAAACATCAGACTTCGTTCTTTCATTTAAAACTATTTGCCCCCTCCCTTCTGTTCTTTTCATCAGTGGTGTGGTGGTAGATGTCTAATAGTCCCCTCTCCTGGAAAGATATTAGGTATACAGGTGTACGTAAGTTTGTTATAAATTTTGCTGATAATAAGGATGCATAACACAATTAAACAATAAGATAGACTTTATCGTAAACCCCACAAAGCCAATTGATCCTCATGGGGTACTAATTGCTTTTCACAGAACTCACAGCCAACCTATGATTGCATTTCAACCATAATTGGAAAAATGGCGTTACATCCTAATCTACTAACTCATTTCACAAGAAAGTTATTGTCATTCAATCTGATATGTGATCTGCTATTAAACTACTTCTTGCCCTTATACAAATTACACTCATTAAACTGAAACCACTTTTAGCTTCAACACTAATTATAAGTTTGTATGATTTCATTTTAATAATGACTGCTTAACAACTGCTGGCAAAATTCTGAAATTTAACCATTGGCTCTTGGGAGCCAGTAAAAGCTACATCCAGCACACCACTGGCCCACCCTATTTTTGTTTTATTTTTAAACTATCAGTTATAACTCTTCGTAGTTTTTCTACTTGCTGATCTCAGGAAATTCCTCTCACTGACCCTGGCAGGGGCTTTAAAGGTGGGAAAAGCATTAATATCAGTTTTGCAGAGTGAGATTTTGATTATGAAGAATTTGGTAAAAGCAGACTTTTCCTGAATTACATGGGAAGCTTACATATTTCCAAAGCTGGTTTTGTACTTTAATTTCTCAGAGCTAAGTAAACTGTGATTTAGACATCTGAGATTTTTGTTAGCATTTAAAACTTCAATTGGTTAGGTATTTATAGAACAGATTTGATCCCATTAAAAAATTGAAACATATTAAACTGTCTTATAGTCTACCAAATGAATCAAATAATCACAGTTCAGTCTACCTCTTCTTTTTGTGTCTGGATTTAGGCTGCTATTATGGGCAGGTTCTAATTTGTTACTCCCTGGAAGTACTTTCTGGAAAACAAAGAATAGATTGGGGACAGAGGCCTGAAGGCCAGTGTGAAGCCTCAGAGATCTGTTGCTGACCAGCCCTATTCATTCCTCTTGAGTTGGGGGAAAGCCATTGTTTTTAATTACCACTTAATATGAAAATGTTTGTTTTTAAAATGTTTCTTCCTCCTGAAAAGATGTATTTTTAAAAGGAAAAAAATTCTCTTTTGGCTCTCTAAGAAGTCAGCTGTATGAACAGGTGTGACCATATCATAACATGCTGATATGATAGAAATCAATAAATTTTTACCTCTCAGGATTCGAGTAACGGTGTTCTTAACTCTTAGAGGCTTTGGAAACATAGGCTAAGTCTCAGCAATTCAGAACACAGAAACAAACACACAAGTGGAATATGAGTTGGCTAACCACTGGAAATAAGACAGGAACTTTTCATAATCAGAAAAACACCCTTAAAGTGGAGTGACTAAGCCCAATTTAGACGAAAGAAATTAGAGCAATGTTGTCTGCTGATAAATTTGGAGCATGTCACAGAGCTCATTCCTGAAGTTTCCCCTGAAAAGAGTTTGTTGCCCCCCCTAGGATTACTTTTTGCCGTTGAGGTATAAGACTTACTCTGGAGATGGCAAAATTCTCACTATTTACTTACCTGAGGAACAAGAGAACATCTGCGGTTCTAGCTGCTTCCTTAGTGATGTCATTGGAGAAACACGGGGCTGGGGTACCTCCCCTAAAATATCAGTTGTTTCATCTGTGATGTAAAAACTTGTAGAAGAGGGTCTCATCTTTATAATAGATTTTTACCAGTCAACACTGTATCAGGGCCAGCTGATGAGCAATTGAGGGGAGGAAATTCTGGTATCTAGGAATGAAGAGATCAGAAGAGCGTGGAGTGCTAGGAAGAAAGATCCAGGAGTATTGGAAGACAAAGGGAAGGCCACAGGCTCCTGTTCACCAACAGGTACACAAAGACTTCCAAAGACGGAAGTCATCTTCCCTTCCTCTGTTAAGAGTGCCATTGCATAGAGGATCCCACCTCCTACTTCGGTACTGCCCACTTTACAGGAGAAAGACATACCTCTCAGCCATGAGACATCTCCCTCCATGGTGCCAAACAAAGGGACAATTCAAAATTTTGGTGACACAGAAGCTTCTTTTAAGCATGGCATATATGGCCTGACAATAGAGCTTTTGTCTTTCCCTGGCTTATTATGGATTTCAGTAAGGACAAAGAATGGCACTAAAAACGGGGCCTGTATTAATGTATTGAGTTCTGATATAGCTAGTGTGGCAATGAGCTGCATTGGCGATTTGAGGTTCTCAGAAGCACAAAAGTAGAAGCCACCAAGACTTCAATGGCTTGGGCCCAGAATTGGAGGACCAGGACTGTCACAGGGTTCCTTTTGCTGCTGTGTATATTTAATTAGCACGAGTCAGGGGCCCAGTCCAGATTCAGTGTGTGAGAGTCTACAAAAGGATGCGAAAACTGAGGGGCATGGTTCACTGGGAGCCATCCTTAAAGATCCTCTGTCACAGGGCAGTGCCTGTAGCTCAGTGAGTAGGGTGACAGCCACTTACACAGAGGCTGGCAGGTTTGAACCCAGCTAAAACAACAATGATAACTGCAACAACAAAAAATAGCCAGGCATTGTGCCGGGCGCCTGTAGTCTCAGCTACTTGGGAAGCTGAGGCAAGAGAATCACTTAAGTCCAAAAGTTAGAGGTTGCTGTGAGCTGTGACACCACAGTACTCTACCCAGGGCAACAGCTTGAGATTCTGTCTCAAAAAAATGAAAAAAAAAATCATCTGTCACAGTAAAAAAGTCCTCAGTCATTTCAATAAAGAACACTAGATGGGTAAGCTTGCCCATAATTTCCATCAGTTGGAAATCTTTTGAGTTTCCCAACACTTTAAGAGGAGTAGAGCTCTTGAGGCATCCCTCCTTTATAAATCACATTAATCAAATGAACACCTAGCCGAAAGAACAGAGGTTTTGTTGGAGAATAATCTTTATACTATTTTTGGCACTGATGAATGCAACAATCATTGGCCCTTAGAATTTCACAGCTGGTAGGAACTTTAGAATTCACTTTATTTGGGGTTGGCACATTTAATTCTGGCACAATTTTGGTCCATTGCTGGCTACTTAGTAGAATTGTGGGGACCAAAACCAGCTCTCAATTTCCCCTTTCAGATTGCTAGTTTTTGTAAATGAAAGTTAAATCTAAAAGATTAAGCATATTTGTCAAAGGGGTGATGGCTCTAAAAGCTGAAGCTTTTATAATTTCCTTTTCCTCGATTTTAATAATCCCCAAACACTAAAAGATAATGTTTTTTATTAGAGTTCCCCTCAGCTGTTGTAGAGATGTAAACACTAAAAAACATCTGAAATTCATGATTTTTATGTTTTCAGATATGGAAATGAAATGCATTTTGTTTTTATTTTTTGCCCTGTATAGTAGAAGATGGAGAAAAATGACTTCATGTCAGACTGAAGGGGATAGATTCCAATCTCATAGTAGTTCCTTTCATTTCTGAATTCCAGGTATGAGACTGGCAGTGGGTAATAAATTCTAGGCCATGATTGCCTCTAGTGCCCAAATGTCCCTCTTTCAGTGTGCTTTTAAGTTCAAAGTCTTGTCCACGTAGGAGCCCACAGAAGGGCAGCAAAACCCTGAACTCAGCCCATGAGCCGAATCCCAACTCTGTCCTTTGGCAAGTTTCTTATCCTTTCAGCTTCTCTCTCCTGGTATTATAAATGAGAAACTTTCAAAGAGTTCTTTTCAGTTTTAAATGAACTGAGACAATGTACAGAAAGCCCGCAGGACATTAGCACATTGTTCTGAATGCTCAGTTAGGAGGCTGCATTTATCCCATCTTTATTGGGCTTAACAGACGGTGTAAATTATCCTCATACTTAGTTGTGCCTAAACACCAAATGACTTGTTCCATGCACAAAAACTGTATTTCTGTAACGTAGGCTATTAATGCCCACCTGTCTACTTTCCAGAGCTCTGGGTCCTTTGGGTTTGTAAGGTAGACACATGCAATCAGCATAGCCAAGCTTCCACCCCCACGCAGTCAGGCTCTATCTAATGTATCTGAGATTCCAGACAGCAGCAAGAAAAAGCTTCAAGATTGGAGAGCCAATTAGGAAGGTGAGGAGACGAGAGCATAAGGAGGACACAGGACCTGCTAGACAGAAGACGTTACATAGTCTTAATAGGGATCTATTTTTGCTTGTGAGACATGATGTCACTTGTGGTGAAGACCTTGAATTGATATAATTTCTAGTATTTGGAAGCTATCCACTAGCTCATGGCTCTCTTTATAATTCATATTATCCTAAATATAGAGCTCTCCATTGAAAGTATCCTAAAGCTTCAGGAAGTTGAAAGTAATTTTGAAGACTTTTTTTCCTTTCTATTAGCAGAAGACTTAGAAGTTTATATCTTGAGAATTGACATTTTATATTCCAGTGGTAAATGCCAGGCGCTCAATTCTTAGGAATTTGGGTACTAGAAGAAAGTGGGTAGATTAGAATCCAATAGTTAATGGTTATTGAGGTGTCATGGTAGAGTACAATGGAACCCAAGGGTTTGCAAGCCCTGCTTTAGAGGGGATGGGAGTGTGGACGTGATGAGCTGGTGGAGCTTCATTCCCCAGCCCAAAACCTGACAAGCTGTTAGTCCTCCCCCTTCACAGAACTTCAGAGTAGCATTGGAAAGTTGTAGAGGCTCACACCTGTAATCCAGGCACTCTGAGAGGAGGCCATGGGAGGAGTTAGAGACCATCCTTACCAAAAGCAAGACCCCATCCCTACCAAGAATAGAAAAATTAGCCTAGCATCGTGGTTGGGAGCCTGTATTCCTAGTTAGAGAAGAAGCTCTTGAACCCAGGAGTTTGAGGTTGCTATGAGCTGGGCAATAGAGTGAGACTCTGTCTCAAAAACCCAACAAGGTGGGAATTCCAGGAGAGAGAGGATGAAGCACCAAGATAAGATTGTGGAACAGGTCTCTCAGGAGAGATTTGGAAATCATTAGATACCATCAGCCAGTGGAAGCTTGGCATGAACAACTCAGGAACATAGAGATATCTGCTTGGGCATCATATCCAGAGTCCTGGGCTGGCCTATGACGAAGAAGACCTGTCTGTGTTTTCCCAGAGGATGGCTAGAAAAGACAGGGAAAGGATGAGTTAATGAACATGGAATTTATAAAGCTATTTTTCCTTGGAGACAGAGAAATGGAATAGTTGACTATTCAAACAGGCCCTCAGAATCTCTTCCATGTAAGATCAGGAATAATAATTGAAACAGGAGTTGGAGCTTTGTCTGAGAGATGTCGGGAGGACCATTGCCTCAGACTCTGGCTTACTCTTTATTAGGCCCTGAAGAGGATGACGAGGAGGGACAGCTGGGCTACCCTGCCAGCCCCGTGAAGGTACCCATGGGAGGCACACAAAGGAGTCCCCCAGAAGGTTTTTCATTTGGAAGGTACTTACTGTTGGGCAAGGGTAGGAAGAAGAGGAGTGGCAGGCCATGGTGGGCCCAGAAGATAAGAAGGAAATGAAGATAAAGGACTCGAGTCATGAGGGCTTGCTGTAAGTCACGGAAGCAAGAAAGCCCCAGGCTGAACCCAAGCAGAGAGCAGACAAGCCTGCCTCCTTCCAGTGGCTCAGGTGGCCTGCTCAGCCCCAGAGATTCACCTGCGCACACTGCTGGGTGTCGTGGTCAGGCTCCTTCCACAGGCTGCACCTCCCATGGCTCCTGCTTCCCCTTGACCCTGCTCCCCACTTGGCAGATAGCGAGCGAGGCTCAGCCCAGGGATCTCCATTTTCAGTCCTGTACCCTGCCTGTCCCCTCAGAATGGAGGGTGTTGGTGACGTGCTCAGGATGTTCTTGATGGACATATTTCCTCAGGGCTGGAAGTGGGGTAAAAGCCACATGGTTCTAGAAGTTTTTGTTTCTTTCTCTGGCACTTGGCCCTCTTCCCTTGTATGATGGAGGTTGGTGACTCTGGCTATTTGAGGTTGTTATGTTTTTGTTTTCAAATGTCTGTATTGGGGGGCCATAGGGGAGAAAGGCCGTATGATCCTGTTTTATTCTGCCAACCTTAAACAGAAGCCTCATACATTCAAAACAACAAACCTACAAGGAGGATGCTTAGCTCGTGCCCTTTTATGACTGTTGTTCAAAGTAAAGCACATCTGATAAAAGATGTTATCTACAGCTGGGAGGGGGGGGGAATGATGTAGCACCCCGAACTAGGAGTTATGTATTCTTTTTTAGCGGGTTCCTAAGTGAGGAGAGATTTCCACACCGGTAGGAGGAAGGGAAGGGCTGAGTGGGAGGAGCCAGGGCTGCCAATCTGGAAGTTACCATGGTTTCCTCCATCCCTACTCCCTTACAAAATGCCTGCAGCCCAGAGGAGTGGTGAGGATCCAGTGAGATAATCCTGGGAAATGGTTTGGAGAACCTTAGAGGCGCTTCACAAGAATGAGGGGCAATTATAATCAGAGCCCACAATGAAACAAGCCCTTTCTTGTCACTGGAAGAATTCACAAAGAGGCTGGGTGAGCCTGTGCCAGGGGTGCTGGGTGGAGAGCCCAACTCTGGGCGTGGGGTGGACCAGCTGGCCCCCAAGGACTGTCTTCCCCCAGCCCCCAGCTCTGTGAGCCCTTGTCACAGGAACCCTGATAAAAGCTCCCACTGTGCCTGCGTTTTCAGTTGTGCTCAGAGGAGGGAAGAAACAATGAGCTCAGCTTGGCCTGAGGACAGGGTTGATTTTACTCTCAGTGCTGACAGAGGCCTCTCCTCAAGCATCAAACTGCCAGGCAGGAGGACCAGCAGCATGGTTCGTGTGACCCAGTGCAAAAGAGAAATGCAAGCCCCTTGGTTCAAAAGTATTAAGAATTTCAAGATGATGACAGTAGAGCATCACAACAAGGACAGTTCATGAGCTTACCACCAGGACCACCAAGGAGGAAATGCAGAATGAGGAGGAGCCAGGCCCCTGGGGGTCCTCAGTGCTCCCTCTGTCCCTTCTGCCCAGACACTGCACCAGGTGCTCTGAGGGACAATAAGAGTAGCACACCATGGGCAGTGGAAGCTCAGTCTCCCAAGGCCTCCCAGAGCTGGCCCTGGATAGGAGATTGGGCGTTCATTATCCCCCACAGGTGAAGGGCTGCCCCTATAGAAAAGGCTTCCCTGGTACCAGAGGAGCCTCAAGGCCAAAAGCATCCAGACTCCAGGGTTGTGCTAGAGAGGGGATGCTGCCCAAGGTGAGCATGGGTCCTGTGGAACTGGAGCTTTCCACCGCAAAAACTGCTGAACAGAGTGAACCAAGGCTGTGCGGCACAGGGTACCTTAGACATCTGTACAGGGGCTGCCAGATTTCCCTAGGAGCCAGCCTCCAGGAGAATATGGGGTGGGGTTTACAGCAAAGTCCAGGCACAAACTATCGTGTGTGTTCTATGAATTACATACATCTATACATCTTTTTTTTTTGCAGTTCTTGGCCGGGGCTGGGTTTGAACCTGCCACCTCCAACCTATGGGGCTAGTGTCCTGCTCCCTTGAGCCACAGCCACCACCCAAATTACATACATCTAGAACAGTGGTTCTCAACCTTCCTAATGCTGCGACCCTTTAATACAGTTCCTCATGTTGTGGTGACCCCCAACCATAAAATTGTTTTTGTTGCTACTTCATAACTGTAATTTTGCTACTGTTATGAATCGTAATGTAAATATCTGATGTGCAGGATGGTCTCAGGGACCCCAGTGAAAGGGTCGTTCGACCCCCCAAAGGGGTTGTGACCCACAGGTTGAGAACCGCTAATCTAGAACCTCCACGTTGACCACCTCCCCACACTGATGACCTCCTTAAATTGACCTAATTTTCATAGACCAGATAGCACCCAGCATGTACGTGTCAGTACAGTAGGCCTAGTTCCTTATTTGACGAGTTTGTTACAGCTCCTTGGGAGGCCAACTCACAGAGGTTCTACTATAATTTATTCCTTCCTCCCCTCACTGATAGCAGTTGCCCATTCTTGGGGCAATCCCCTTGCCCCTCCCCCCAACCTGTCCAGCAGACACGGGGCTGCTTGCACCAACACCAGGCTGCACAGGAAAGCAGAGAGGGGTGGGACCGGTCAGCTGTTGTTTATGGAGTGTGCTCACTGAGAGGCCTGGGAAGGGGCAAGAGAGTGGACACAGCTCTGCCACCACCCAGCTGCCTACTGACAGGCCAAGGATGTGACACAGAGAGGTGCTGTGGTGATGCTGACAGGCTTCATGGGAGGGGCTCAGCCCAGGGAAGGGGCTGAAGGCTGCAGACTGATGCTGCCCCCGCCCTCCCATCCCTCTGCAGCAGCTCACCTCGGGGCTCCCCCTGGCTGCGGGCCTGAGGCTGCCCTGGGCCCAGCTGCTGGCTCTGAGCCTCTGCCAAGTCCTTCCCTCCCTCCTCAATGCCTCCTTCCTTGGCCATATTTCCTCAAAACCACTTTCTGGGCCCTTATTGCCTCACACAGTGTTCAAGAATCTGGTTGGCAGGTGGCCCAAGCCAGAACCCCTGAACCCATGAGCAGAGGAGCAAGTTAATAATTGTTATTAATCTTTGAGGGGGCGGAATCCAGGCATAGGAAACTGGAATCCCAGGGTATGATCTGGCGCAGCTTGTTTCTAGCCAGTTAGGTCACATTTCCTCAGTTTCCACTCTTGAGACAGTTGTGCATGTCTACCCCATGCGGTTCTTGTGAGATCAAATGAGCAATGCCTGTAAATGGAATTTTCAAAGCAATGGATTTTGTGTAAATGTAACATGATAAGCATCGTTTGCAGCTGTTGTGCTGCACAGTTAACTGTATTACTTGGAACTGGTTAGCCCGGCAAACACCCGTTTGTCTGGGATCTGAACTGGCCAATTATGAGTTGTCCGAGGGTTGTGGGGGCACTCGATCCCTGGGCAGAGACAGAAATTTGTAGTAGGTCTGTGATTTTCTAGAGCCTGTGTGACAGCGATCATTATGCCTGCCAGGTTCTCAGGAGGGTCACGCCCTGTGCACACTGAGGGAATTATCCCTGTGGGCAGGAAGCTTCCTCACTTGATTCCACAGGACACATCCTCCCGGCAGGCCGCCTGTGCACTTGGAGGCACTGACGAGATCCTGAGGCGTTTTCAGGGACATGTAAGACTGACTCACCTTCTCCCCCTCCGGGGGTACGTTAGCCGTTAACCTTAGGGTGGTGGTTGTTGTGTGGAGGTGTCAGGGGTCAGGATAAAGAGGAGGGAGTGGGGTGTTATTTAAGTCCCAGAAAAGAAAGAAGAAATGGTAAGGAGTCTTGGGAGGAATGGCCGGAACCAGAAGGAAAAAGGAGCAGGGCCTAAACCAGAGAGCTGGAATGAGACAGAGGGGTATGCAAATGCCCCCCAGAGGGTGCCCACTCCCCTCTCCCAGAGAAGGCCTCACAGAATTATCAACCCCTGGTCAGCCATTAGGGTGGGACACCAAGCCCAGGATGGAACCACACTCTGGATGGGGTGGCAGACAGATGAAGAAGGCAGTGTGACCGAACAGCACGCCCGAGAAGCTCCTGGGTGGAAGGGGCGAGAGATAAGCAAGCGTAACAAGGAAGGCTGTCTCTCCAAGCACAGAGCCACACTCCCCGGAGAGTGCCGGCACGTGTGGGTGCGCAGCCGCGAGGAGGGAAGGAGGGCAGAGGGCAGACGGGGCTGCCTGCAGGGAGCTGAAGAACCATGGGGAGGGTTTGGGTGGGGAGGTGAGTGGGCAGTGGCCCTGGCATCTCTCTGGGGGCAGGACGTCCCCGCACAGACATGGCTGGTAATCAGGAGGGAAGAGGACCCTGGACTTTGTCTTCATTCCTTCTTCCTCCCCTTCATTTTCCTTTCGGTCGGAATGTACCGAGCGCTGACTGTGTGCTAGGCCCTGCGCCAGGGGCTGGGCGCGCAGCAGGAGGAAAACAGACCAGCTCTCCGGGAGCTTGTGCTTTGGCCAGGAGAAACAGAAAACTACTAAATAAAACACAGCTGAATCTTCTTATTCGCAGATTCCTTATGTGCAAATGTGCCTGCTCACTAAAACTCACTGGTAACCCCTCAAATCCATCCTCTCAGTGTGGTCAGAGTCATCTGCAGAGTCGCAGCGATTTCCAGGCACCCGATGTAGGTGTTCCCAGATCAACACACGTCTTATTTCCACACTCACAGTGGAAACAAACATTCTTTTCAAGGTGTGTTTAGTGCCGTGGTTTTTTCCGCATTTTTGTGCTTTGGTTGTTCACTTTGCTGTTTAAAATGGCCCCCAAGCGTAGCGCTGAAGTGTCATCCAGTGTTCTTAAGTGCAGGGAGCCAGTGATGGGCCTGACAGAGAAAATACGCACGTTAGCTAAGCTTCGCGCAGGCTCGAGTTTAGGGTGATTCAATGCTAATGGGTCAACGGCATATTACAGTTGTTGAGCCACTTGGGTTTAAACTGCGCAGGTCCACTTATAAGTAAATGTTTTTTTCAGTGAAAGTTACACTGAGAATACTGCCTCTCCTGTCTCCCCTTCTACCTTCTCTTCTTGTGCCTCTGTCACCCCTGAGCCAATAAGTCCCCGCTTTGCGCCTCCTCTTCAGCCTACTCAATGTGAAGACCCTGAGAATGAAGACCTCTCCGATGATCCACTTCCACTTAAAGAGTAGTAAATATATTTTCTCTTCCCAATGATTTTAATAACATTTTCTTTTCTTTAGTTTAATTTGTTTCAAGAGTATAATAGGGACTTGGCACCTGTAGCTCAGCACCGAGGGCTCCGGCCACATACACCAGGGCTGGCGAGTTCGAACGCAGCCTGGGCCTGCCAAACAAC